CTAACAGCAACATGACCAACATGTCAGACTAACAATCAACATATACCGAACCTAAAACTGTGACCACGAAACCGTGAACCGAAACATGGATTGTGTGAACCGTTCCACCCCTAGTGGAGAGCGAATGTAGATTTGACCAATCAGAGGCCTCCTGGCTGCAGCACTGTCTGCGGTCACCTACAATTTGGAAGAGGTGCAGCAGTGTCTGCGGAGGGGCGGGGGGAACATTTGCAATCACTGCCACACACACGCAGACGACCTGGTTTGGAAATGTCAGCCTGAAGAGGCTGAACCTCACTGGAAGTGAAGCATTTTGGCAACTTATCCAATCAGAGCTCTACTCTCTCACTGCCTTCTTCAATACACTGAGACTCCAACCTCAGCAGTGATTTCTGAAAGAAGCTAACAGGCACCGTTCTGCTGCTCCAGAGCGGATGAGAGATTGCGTTCAAGAGCAGAGAAACAGCTGTTTGATGCGCAACATACCCATAAAATCAGGAACATTTTAGCGCATATTTAATGCAGTTTACTGACTTAATTTATGAAGTTTGACATAGTATATATACCAATAATGTAACATTACTTAACTAAGAAGGTTTGGCCTCCATAGTATTAAATGAGAAATTGCCAATGCTGCACTGTTATAATCCTACTGGATGAACTTCCATGTTCCACCTGTGGAATCCTTTCACCAGGTGAAATCAAAACCGCATTCCTCCTCCCTTTATTGAATGTTCAAGTCACACAAAAACTTCCACAGCTCCTGTTAAAGGACCAGTTCAGTTCAGCCCTGAAACGGTCTGTTCTGTGGGCTGGACTCACCGGGACAGGCAGAACTCCAGGGTCTTCTTCAGGTGCTCCCTTAAACTGTCCTGGCTGTTGTCAGGCTGAGAATCACTGCCTGTTGACAGAAAGACACATTAATAAATAAATAATACATAAAAAACAAATAATTTTATAAATAATAATAAAATAGAAAACAGTACAGAAAATTAAAATTGAAGGAAAGGAACAAGGAATGTGCAAAACAGAAATAAACAGTAAAAATGAAGTGTGGCTAAAATTGGTTTGTTTTTAAATGTCTACAACGCTAGAGGACAAGCAAAACATAAAACCCCTGTACTGATCTTATCTGAAATAATAATGTTAAGTTCTGATATTTTTTTTTAAGATTTCTGTGAATCCTTCCTGACCTTTAAGACCTTAAAAATACTTAGAGATAAAAGTCTGCCGACAGACTCTTCCTGCTGAGACTAATCAAATTTTAATGCAAAAAATTGTTTTTAAGTGGCCACTTTCCTCCAAAGAATGAATAAAATAAAAGCCAATAGAGGATGAGCACTGCTAAGATGAAGCAATCTCATTTCAATCATCTGGACTCAAACAACAGCAACTGCTACACAGGTACTTCAGCTCTAATTACTTAACGACTTTTCTGCTGGAGGACAACCAACCACCTCAGCTGAGAAAACAACAACTTGGGTCATTTTACTGCATAATTACATCTTAAAACCTCACAATGATAAAGAGAAATGCACACGCATTCCCAGTGACCTCATCTGAAATGCTGCTGGTATTGATTCAGGCCGATTCATTTCACCAAACGGGCTGCTTCTGTCTGGCTCTGAGTGTCACACCTGTTGGACCTTAAAGGCTGTGTAGACATAAGTGTGAGCTCTGAAACCTCACAGAGCCGCTCCTCTCTGACCAGCCCACCTGTGTCCCCTGGCTGCCCAGGCTCGGGGTACTCTGTGTAGGCGGGCTCGGAGCCCTCCAGTGTGATGGTGGCAACGGGGGCCGGCTCTCCTAGCATTACTGGTGCTGGTGGAGGCTCATCTGGGTCAGTTAGCTGAGGCTCCTTGTAAGCTCTGTCCTCACTGGCTTCAAAGCCTGTGGCGATCGACAAGGGCAGGTGGCGTTATTGATAACACAGAGGTAAATACTCTCAGCAGCCCCCAAAACCTGCTCTATCTGTGGTCCATCCAAACATGGATATATATTGGTAAATGTAACTAGCTGTGATACTCCCTCAAAATAAAAAACAAATCATGTGAGCACAAACAATACATGAAAGCAAAATAAACAATGTAAAGATGCATCAGAGAATCATTAAGTCAACAAATGTAGAAAATGTCCCTGAATAGGCTCTGATCAGCAGGTCAAATATGGAAAAATATTTATTTATTTTTAAGTTCTGTTTAATTCAATGCCTCCAAACTTCTAATATATAAGCAAACAGAGTTTTTAGATGAAGGTTGAGGACATATTGCTTCAAGCATTAATTAATAGTTTTCTCAAATGCATCTCTACAGCAAATGTAAACAATGAGAAATAAATGTACGTGTTTAGGATAAAGGAACTGAAAATTTGATGGTTTAAAACTGAGCTAGAGACAAAAAATGGTTTTTAAGTGTCAAGAAAACTAATTTGGGTTTTCTGGGGAGGATTTTCCAGTTCAAACAACACTTCGCAACCACGGTAAAATAAAAAGTTAACCTTTTCTTACCTAAAATTCTCGCTTTTCTTTCAAATTAATCTGGATTCACTTCCTTTTTAATGCATACAAGAAGAATAACCTATAAAATACTGAAAGAGCTGCATATATCCCAAGCAGGCAAGACACAAATCGCAGCCACACAGCAGTAAAGCAAGCCAACAGAAAACAAACAGAGTCAACCCTGGCATTAACGTGCCACCCACATCATTTGATTGGCAGGTAATGGCTGTGGAAACTGCAAACTGCAATGTGCTTCCAAACAACATGGTGGTTTTCGCAGGTGATAAACCTGCTATTAACTGCCCTGCCACAGCATTGCAGTCATTTAAAGGTAAACCACCGCTCAAGCTTTTCTAATCCATAGAAGTGAAGCGTTTAAACACCTGCAGAAACTTTACTCTGTAACATGGAAAAAAATGACGGAAATGGGTGATTTTAACACAGCCATACAAACACAAGTCAGTAAGTAAATGGAGTTACAGAGCAGACAGATTGAACCTCACCTAATGAGCCTACAGGAAACCATGACTTCAGGTTGCTTTATATCATACCAGGATGTGGGAAGACCCCATTTAACTTCATTTTTTTTTAAACCAACTCTTTAGTTTCTTCACAAATAAATTGAATACAAGAGCTAATTAGTGATTATAGATTAGACTGTCAAAGGCTGACAGCACAACAATTCGAGTTCAGACATACACAGCTCTTACTCTGCTCTTTTCTAAAGGTTAGGGAGGAAACTAATTCATTCTGACACAAAGAAGCATATTAACTCAGCTGTCATAAGTTTCCTCAATGTAGGAAATGAAGGAGGACAATGAGTCGATCCGTGTTGGACCAGAGCTAATCAATACGTTCTCTGTCTTTGTTGCATCTGCTGCGGCTGAGCCTGGCAGAGAAAATTACACTCAGCGATTATAATGGTTAATGTTAAGGAAATGATGGCTGGAATATTCATGCATCCTATTAAATTAGGTATAAATGATTAAAGATCTGTTTTACTCATGACAAATGTGACTCCAGGAGAGGAAGACTGGAAAGTATAAATAACCATAAAGGTGAATGAACTGAGATTGTGGCTTTGAACTTGCTTTTTATATATATCAAATCCATGTCACCTCCTAACTTCAAATAAGATGTCAGTACTAGCATCTCAAGATTTAAAAAAAAAAAAACCTGCCTTTAGTGACAACTCTTTAAATGACTCCAGCTATACCCAAAAATAGCTCTAAGGAATCAGTCTGAATGGACTTTTCTTCAAAATGTCTGCCTGCTTGAGCTCAGATTTAAGATTCTGTCGAGTTTCTCTTGTGGTACCAGCCATAAATTGTTTAGCTTGTTGCACACATGGTTCTGGGGTATTGGCTTATTTCTGTCCATTTGTTTCTCCTACAGGTTAAAACCCAAGAAAACAGATTTGTTAAGGGACTTGTACTTTGATTATTACCCTGAACCTTCGTGGTGTAGCTTCAGGTAAATATAGAGCAGTTCTCTGTGGTCATTTACCCCATAGAGAGGCACTGGGTGGAACCATGGAAACACTTTTTATAACTAGGAAACATCAATAGCATTTTCTCCCCATCAGAATTCATGTATTTTGTGTTAAACTGTAAAGCATTTTTAACCATCTACTTTTAGCCATATGTAAAGAAAAGGAGCTAAACTCCATCAGTCAAACCACAGTCAAACTCATCAGGCTCCATAAGCAAGAAGACAGTAGGGCTGTTCCTGCAAAACTCTCTGAGGTTAAAGAATTGAAAAGTTCCGTACACTTTCAGTGATTGCTGCAATGGGTATATTGAATATAGTAGTTTAATAACAAAAATAATGAAAATCCTAGCTTTTTAACTTTCCTGATGGAAGCCCGTTTCCATGATAAACAATCCTACAGTTGTCACCGGATTATCATCTGATTCAATTAGAAATCATTGACATAACACGTTTATGCCACAGTAGAAAAATAAAAAAAAACATTGGAAAAAGAAATAAACAAATGGGGTTTTAAGGTCTGTGTATCTTTTAGCATCATGTTTCAGTCATATCCTTTTAAACTCCTCTACAGTTTGCTCAGATTTTCATTTTGCAGCATCTGTGGAAGCAGATGGAGCAAATTTTCCACTTAAGAGGAAGACTTAAAGATTGATGTGCTTTTTTGTTTTGGGATGTTTTCAACTCCTGTTAGCTTTCTCCAAACTCAAATTAATTTGTGTTATATTTGTCAAAGGTGCTGTTTAAGAAACATCAGCTACAGTGTTAGGAATAACAAATTTTCTTTTATCAGGAACAAATTTCTTATTAAGTTGTAGGATGAGGAGAAAGACCGGGTGAAGGTTTTCTGGCCGTGTCAGCAGGTCTCATTTACACAAACAGCAGCAGCAGTCAGAGCGCACACGACACACAGCTCAGGGTAAACACGTCTAAATGGGGGATGAAAGTTCAGGGTAGCATAAAGGAAAAAAGCCTGAACCAAACTGACTGAACCCAAGAGCAGCCAGGTCCAGGACCTGAAAAGGTCTTAAACTAGTGGTGCCCAAAAATTGAATCAGGTCCTACAAGATCACCAAGAGTAGAACTTAGATGAATTTCCAGTAAATAAGCAAAGCTTGAAATTTGTTGTAAAATAGAACTTGTTTTGTTTCTTTTACAAAAGAATAAAAATAAGAACTGTATTAGTCATATGGCTAAAATGATTTAGGCTTTATGATCAAGATGACTCTACAAGTGACTATAAAAACTTGCATTAAGTCATCACTAAACAGTCTAGTACAGAGGTCACGGATTAGCGGACCACAGTATGGATCCTGACCCACCTGCTGGCTAATCCGTACACAACACGATTTAAAACATTTATAAATTACTACATGTTGTCTGAGGACAGTGTCTATTAGGGATGGGACGATTTATGAAAACCGTCAGAATCGTTCGGTTCGACTGTCTCTGTTCGGTTTGCGTGTGTTTCGTTCGGTTCATGCGCTGCTCCTTTTTCTCATAGGCGAAGCGTTTACACTCCAGAGCAGAAGGTGGCGGTACTGCGACCAAAGCCAACCGCCAGTAGTAAACAAGAAGAAGAAGAAGCGAAGCAGCTTAGCCGGGTGTAGCAGAAAAAAATCAGTTGTTGTGGAGAATTGTGTCGGACTGGCGAGTGGGAAAGAACTGGAGTTGGAAGACGCGCCAGCAGCACTTTATAGGTCTGCTGTATGGGAGCGCTTTGCATTTAGAGTGACCTACGATGACGGCGGAAAGAAAGTTGTGGATAAAAGTGCAACAGTGTGCAAGCATTGTGCAACACGTTTTGTTTATGCTAACAGCAACATGTCATGCTAACCCCGAAATCCCTCATACTCCGTCAGCAACCCCCGCTGCGCTCCAGACCGGCTGCTCAAATCAAAGCCTACAGCCCCCGCTGTGGCTTCGTCCGCTCCCCTCTGAGTTCCTTGGAGATGGTAGAGAGCATGTAACCTGACAACAGCCAGATGCATGTGGCGGAGCGAGACATGCATCTGGCTGTTGTCAGGTTAGAGAGCATGCACCAGATGATTAAACTCAAAGCAGCAAAACATACGGAAATGATCCAGGGTTTCCGCGAATCATTCAAAATAATTACAATCCATTATTTTTAGGGGGATTTTTTCATTAATTTCATAATTTTTTATGGAATTTCGGTGTAACAATCAACATGTATCGAACCGAACCGAAAACCGTGACCAGAAACCGTGAATCGAACCGAACCGTGGATTTTGTGAATCGTTCCACCCCTAGTGTCTAAACGTCACTTGCGCCGCTTCTCCTGTTACCCCGAAATCCCACACCTTCACTGCTCTGCAATGCTCAAGATCGCCTGCCCAAAGCATAGCATACAGCCTCCGCTGTTTCTCCCTTATTGCTGTGCTCCGACTTATCCTCAGAGCTCGAGGAGAGTGTGCAGAATATTGTCATTAAATTTGTTGGAGCGAAACATGCAGAAATTAACGCTTAATTTAATATGAAATATTAAAAAAATCCACATCAGCATACAGCATATATGCAGTTTCCAATGGAGATGAGAAATCTGCTTCCTGGTCTTTTGAAGTACCAATAGTTTACATCCAATCTTGTAAATAAATGGTGTTTTTTGAAATATAAAAAGAATTATGATCCAATTTTTAGTTACTGATCTGTTGTTACTATATTTTAATTTGACAAACCGGATCTTCTTACTGTCATTTTTCCTGCATGGTGCGATTGCAGAAGCAGATCTTGACCTGGCCGGAGCGGAGTGGACCCTGAACATTTAGAGTATGTTTGGCTAAACCTACTGCTATGAAGCAGGATTCGCCACCATGAACAGAATCAAAAATAAATATCGATCACGAATGAGCACCTTGATATGTGCTTCAGAATTGATTGATCAAACCCAGGTTTAAAGCCTTGCAGGGCAGCATAAAGCCCACTTCTCTTATTAAGCCATTAAAAAATAAAATAAAGAAAACAAACGTTCAGTTCAGGTGTTTTATAAAACATGTGAATCAGGAAATTGTCTATATACCAAACTGAAAGACTAGTTCAAAAAACACTTTAGATTTTAAAATGGAGAAATTATCTATTCTCTTTTAATTAAAAATGTAATTATGGTTTCATGGATGCATTAAAATCTAATTTTATGTTAAATTCTGTTTTAAGTAACAGATTTTAATTAAAAGTGTCTCCGGACCTTTACTGGTTGATGATTTTCTTTATTCTGACCCAGCTGATTTTTAATTGGTTACCCCTGGTCTAGTAAAACATTAGAAAATATTTGTCTAAAAATACGTCTACCCATTATTTTATAGAAACTTTATTCATCAAGTACATCAAAATGTTCTACTATGCTGCTAAATGTCTACTGTAATGATTTCTATCTGTAATATTTAAAATAACAACCATTTATAAATTGATGGAGCTGACAGAAGGAGAAGAATCTGATCAGGTTTTAGAGTTCCCAAACTCTTTAATTGGTTCTAGAGTTATTAAAGGAAGAACAAGTCTTTTACATCGACTTGACAAAGAGTTGACAGTTTAAAACTCAATGACCATTAAAGAAGGAGTACCGAGTAATGTGCCACTGCAACTAAAAGAGCTGCTAGTAAGAGCAGAAGACATCTGTAAGCGTGTATCCCAAAGGGGCGACTGACCTTCAGGGCCGGGGTCGGCCGAACTATCGCAGCCTTCCTTCCATGGCTGCAGGGCAGCAGTGGTGGTGGTGTCAGCAGTCCCGCTGGTGTCCAGGCTAAACATGTGGTTGGCCCATGCTTTCGCATTGGGGTTGAGGTCTGAAACCTTGGCTGATTCCTGTGGGAACAACACAATCTGGTCAGAGCAGCCAGCATAAACACTAAACCCTCTGTGTGTTACGTACTATAGCTATGATTGTTTTATGCAAATATGATCATATGAAATAGACTACAATAATAGCTAGAAGCATTCAGGTAAGCTCACATCCTTAACTTTGATTTAGTAAATAAACCATCCAACAATTATGAGGAAATTGCACAAATGCCAAGAGAACCTCAGATCAAAACTGACTGAAAAATAACCTGATCGGTGTTACAGTTAAACCATTTTCATTCAGCTGATTTAGCAAATAAAAGACACTGGGTTGCTGGTCAGAACAGGTCAAACTTAATTTACAATACTGTATAATATTCTATGCATATAGAAGTAAATACAAAAGGGATATTATTCCTATAAATTTGAGTTTTAAACACATTTGATATGATACTGTGTTTTCCCAGTGAACTCTCCACAGTTCGAAGGATGAAGCCAACAAATCTCAGGGACTTTGTGTTGGAGCCGATGAGCCAAAAAACCACACAGTATCCTGGTGTAACTTATTGCTCACTTGCACAGGATTTTGTTTAAACCCTTTAGTGACACAGTGCAAATAATCAAACAGGGAGAACAGAAGCAACAACCTTTAAGTCAAGATTCAGAGGAAACCTGAACAGACCTTTATGGAGAAAGACTGATACATAGAGAAACCTTCACCTGTTGAGAATATGAAACAAATCAGTCTTTTCAATAATATTTTAAACTAACCATATTGCACGTTTGTTTCCTTTAACAAGTGAAGCTAAAACAGAAAAGCTCCAACCTATGGGCATAACTGACAGCACCATCTTGAAGCCCATCAGTGGATCAGACAAGGTTGTGGTTTAAAAAAAAGCCTTTATGAAATGAAAAATGTCAAACAGTTGTGTGAAAACACAAAGATTACCATCAGAGGAAGCATAGGTGACCTCCTTAGAGGTGAAGGGATGAAGAGGAGAGATTTCTCCTCATTCACCAAATACAAAATTAATAAAAAAATATATATAAAGTTGACAAAGATAATGTTATGTTATGTTTGGAGGAGGAGCCAAGTACACAAACAAACAGAGGCTGCTATTTGCAAGCATGAAGTAGATCAGTCAAGAAAATGTTTTCTTCCACCAGCAATCCAAATGAAGGTGGATATTTCTCAGGACTGAGCCAAATAAGAGAAGATGTTCGTTGGCAGCGTATTTAAATAGCACTTTTTGTAAAGGGTGGCGAATAATAAGCAGGCTTAACTTACTGGGGTGCCAGTTTGTTACATCTCAGAGTTGCAGCACTTCTTTTAGGTTTCTCCTGATTGGATAAACCGCAATATAAATCTTGCTGTTATTATTGTTCTGTAACGTTATTATTGTTCTGTAACTTTTGGTTCCCTTAATGACCATCTAAATCTCAGCTTTTCTGTTTTTAACACTAGTTTCATATTCCTGAATTTTAGGAATATAATTTAATAAAACTAAACAGAAAACAAAGCAGAGTAAAGTTAAAATATATTTACAATTTAAGGTTCTGAAAATATGTTAGAAAAACAGAGGTGCACCTTTTCTGAGATAAAGGCAGAAAAGTCAATATGGTTGAATAGAAGTCTCATCAGACTAACATCATCTGACTGGATCAGCTTCAAACGATGGACATTGTTTGTCTGAGCTGCAGCTAGCATAATAGGTTTGCTGATCATACTCACAGGAATGAAACAGTAGTTCAGTCTGCATGCCTCGCAGCCAAACAGACCATAACCCAGAGCCGTGGTGAGAGCCAGCGCATCATTTAACTCCTCAGGCACCGAAGGCCAAGAGCTTCCTGTAGTACAGGAAGGTGGTAAAAAGCTCCACTCCACCCAATCCATGATTAAAACTCAAAAATCAAACATCTGCTCCCAGCAGGTCGAGTAAGACTTCAGATCATCCCTGTGTGCTTCCAGGTTTAAGCCGGGCTCCTGCACGGCCGCAGCTCTCCGATTCATTCTCAGGAAATCACAGACACAGCCACGCTCCGTCTGATCCAAGCTGCTCCGTCGATTCAACAAATCTGGTGACAGTACTGAGGCTCTGCTGCCCTGGTGGGCAAGGCTGACGTTGCACAAGCTGAGTGGCTGCCTCCTCCTGTTCAGCATCCGTGTCTGCTTTTGTTTTGTCAGCGTTGCACTGAGTCATTCTCCAGGAAAACAGTGGAGAAGTCCGTGGGGCATTGAGGCGCTCCCCTTGGACACAAGCGGAGCCTTTGCATATACTCGAGCTCAACCCCAGGGCGTCGTTCCAGCTAAGCCAGTCCTCGAAAGTCTTTTAATGGACTACTCTGTTAACAAGCTGGGAGTAAAATCAAAAACACAGTGAAACCAGTTTTCCTGTGCAGTACAAACACGTTGAAACAAGAAGCTGATTCTAAGAAACAGAGTAACAGAAAGGGAGACAAGTCTGACTGGACGAAAGTATAGTGATGCTTCAAACGCTGCACTGTCAGATCATCCAGGATGAGTCTGACCAGACGGATGCACGCAGCAGACTATGCTAATGTTTCGGCCCAGCTCCGACGCAGAACTCCCACTCCTGTCCGAGCTGGCTGCCATAGAAACCCCCTGCTGACATCACCGGATGTGTTTTTACCGGGCATTGCGTGACCTTTAGAAATTTTAAACGTTCCCGTTCTTAACGGAGGGCGTAAAGGTTGTCTGCTGCCCTGATTGAGAGAGCCTGTGTGTTTTGTAGAGAACAGACGAAGTGACTCAACAAGCACCGTGAGCAGAGAGCAGTTATCAGTGTCATCCGAGGGCAGCTGATATAGCACTGCGTTTATTGGCCCTGTTTTCTAATGGAAGCAAGATTAGCTGCCATGGACAGAAATGGCAAAGATAAGAGAAGCATCTACAAACAGCTGAATTTGAACTAATCTGCTTGTGTGCAAACGTCAGGGAACACCAGAGCTCATTATGAACTGAAAACTGCAGGCTGGGAGGGGGCCACCTTTACATTAGCTGTACTTCCACTCCTTTTCAGGAACAAGAGGCATTCTTTTTTTACAAACAAAACCTATGGACAAGCAGAATGTCTCTTGGAGAAAAGCTTTCAGTTCAGAAACAAAAGGGGGGAATAGTTGACCCAAATCAAAGAGGGATGTTAAGGGAATCAGATTGAGGACATGGTAGTGGCAGCATCTTGCTGTGGGACTGTTTTTTTTTTCTACAGGTGCTGCTGAGGCCTTGGAGCAAGTGGTCAAAAGAGAGGCATGTTAAGGTCAATTTCCTAACATCTGCAGGTGACTTAAAAAAATCAATAAAAAGGCCAACATTAAATTCCTGTAAAGACCTTTCCAAACCCTGACCTGAACCCAGGAGAAAATCTCTGGACTTTGCTTTAAGGGTTCTCTGTTCAGAAAGGAATCAAAATACTTTAACCAATCCTGCCAGGCCATGTATCCAGCCAGAATTATGCCAGAAGCAAATTAAAATGCGTGCAACTGCACCAAAACGTGGTAATTTAAAGACACTGGTAGAATATATTAATACAGGAGAGACTGCATTTAACCCGACTGATGTGCATTAGAAAAATATTCATGCCTTCTTATGCACAGAAAAATTATAAAGTAATCCAGCAATTATTGTTCTACCCACCATCTAAAACAATCGGCTTTGTCAAGCTGGGCTCTACACACAAAAAGCAAAAAAATCCTAATATTTTCCCCTTTTTTGAGTCGCAAAAGTCCAAATCAGATATAGTAGATCAATCCGTCAAACGGAAAGATTAACAAAGCTATTTGTTTATATGTTAACAAGAACAAACAAACCTATCCAAATATTGACACAAAAAAAAAAAAAAAGTTTACTGTTTTCCTTAGACCGATGTTGAGGATTAAAGGTTTTCTCTTTAAGAAACCTCTACAGACAATTTGACAATTTAACATCTTTTAAACTACAGTTAAACTAAAAACCAGAGGACACACTTGACAAAAGAAAAAAAACGCATGCTCCATTTTTTGACCAACTTTCTTCCCTCTTTTTGTCTGATCTAACTTATAACGGCTTTGACTTGAACACACAGGAGCTATAAGTAGGTCACCGTCAATTACCCTATGAGTTTCTAACACACAAGTCCACAGTATATGTTGTCATGTATGGGCAAGAGACTAAATATGGAATGAGATGGACGAGCTTTTTGGACAGAAGGACTAAATGTCAGCAAAATGAAATGGAGAAATTAATATGAATTGGCATTGATTTACAGAAAACCCAGAGTTGACAAAACAAAACATATACTTAAAAAAAAGTTTAACATGTGATTTGAAGATAAATTAGCAAAGCAATCTTCATGATTGACTTCTGATTTATTATTATTTATTATTTTGATCAGATTCAATGAAGACGTGGTGGGTGCATCTCCCTTTTTCTAAAATACTCCTCTTAAGCACCTATCAGGTAAAATCTTGCAGAAATGGAAAGATTTTCCTACATGTTCACTGTGGAGCTGAAACTGATTCAACTGAATATGTTACAAACCCAATAAGCTGTACTTTGGTTCACTGATTGCTTTTCCACCAGCAGCAGCTTGTAATGAGACCTACAGCCTGCAGCATTACCCCACCAAACTCCATCAGGGGTTAGTTGCCCCCTTTTTGTTTCCGCTGCCTATCTTTTTTCCAATCTTGATCATGTGTGTCTGAAAGTGGAAAAAACTAAAAAGACATGCCCTTTCCTTTTCCAAATTTGCAGCTTGCATGGTACAAATCCTTTCTATGTCAGAGGGCAAACCAGTGGAGTTTTACTATGGATGCACAATCAATTAATTGGATTTGCAATAGAACTGCAATTTAACAAAATGCATATATAAAATTGCAGAAGCACTCAATTTGCAACATAAAAATATTTAACATTATACATGGGGGGGGGGGGGACAATACAATAAAATTGCAATATTGGTTTCAATTGCAAAAAAAATGCAATTGTAATTTTTGTGAAAAATGTTATTATTAGCATTATTTTTACTCATTTACTGAGTTTGAAAACATTTTCTATTCCAAGTAGCCAATTAAGAGAACTATTTGTACAATAAACCACACCATCCACAGGCCTGATCAGGAACAGTGGTCCCCAAAGCACAAAACAAAGTTCAGACCAGATTAATGGAGTAAATACTGCCACAGCAGATTTGCCATTAAAGTTCTAAATGTAGGCTTTTAATGGAACTAGAACAACCGTCCATTCAAGTGCAAGAAAAGCACAAACAAATGAACTCCACCTCTAACCAACCAGCGGCTTAAATGATACCATGGTTACTTGTTAGAGACAGTTCCCCAGCACTTGGTTGTATATCGTTAGGACGTCCCGCCCATAGCGCCCATTTTTAGCCCAGTCAGTCGCTGCAGATGTCGACCAAGTGTTGCCATCAATCAAAGCTGCAGCTCTATGCAGCTCCATGTAGGCTAGTCTATGCAACACAAGGAGGCTTCTGAGACTATAGGCGGATGGGGTACCCAGACAGAAAGGGGTAAAATCTGAACCACTTTGGCACAAACACTTTTTTAACCCTCTACATGTTTAGGTTTCAGTTCCATCCTGAAAGCAAATAATGTAGCTGTATGGTAGGTCTACATCAGAACTAAACAACATCTAATTTACAATAAACAAGGAACCAGGTAGGCTAAATCAGACACCGGATATGAGTCTTCATTAATAACAGAAGTAGCTGTTTTTTGGCAAATTAAAAGTTCTGCTATCTGTGTTATCTGTGTTAATTATTATTCCACCACTAAATGAAAAAAGTAATAATTTATTATTATCTAGAGACTATTAATAACAGGAGGAGAAATGCAGCTCTAGACGAGCCGGGCATGTGGTGATGTCACAAGTACGCTTCTGTTCCAATTGACCCATATTTATGCTGCACGCTCCCGTTCTCACCAAATCCATACTTTCTAGTGTTCTTCTCAAGAACATACATGGCGAGGATTCAAGTCCCTATTCACATTCTCATGAACTGCGAAACAGCCAGAGACTTGTCCTTTATACGATGGTGGATGTGACTTTGTTCGTACTGTACATTTTATTTAATTAATGCCATGACAGTTTTGGCATTAATAGTTTATTTTATAAAAATGACCATATTTTGCAAAATAGATTAAATTCAGTCATTTGAGATCAGCTGATAAAATCAACATTTATTAACATTAAATTAACCAAAATTCAATATTATTCTAAAAAATAGATAGATAGATAGATAGATAGATAGATAGATAGATAGATAGATAGATAGAATATTTATAATATTTTAATTTTGCTACTAGAAAAATAATTATCTCTAGTTTTATGTATTGAATTTAATCTTTGTGTTATGATGAACTGGAAGGAATTTATTAAGAGCAAAGGAAAGACCTCGTCATTCAAGCGTCATAGTTTTCAGGTGTAAATATTGCAAAACATACACGACGGTTGCTCTGTCCTTAGATATGAACACTGGGACTAACGTTTCAGTTACCTGGGTATTGATTCTGTCATTTTATGTAAATAAGACCGACACCCCTTTAGTTCCCACACCATGACTGTAAACATGCTTCAAAACAGCAACAGGTAGGGGAGGAGTACCACTGCATCGTACGTCAGGAGAAAACCCTTCATTTTTCAGTTTCTTTCCCCAGGCTGTCAGTCTTATGAACACTTTAGAAAGACTGGATCAATATTTTACAAAAGAGCAACAAAAAGCCAACCCTCTTAACTCTGGTATAGAAATGTAAATACACAAATCTGTTCTCCTTATTTCTATATTTAAATTTAAATATCTTAATTGAAATCCAACTGTAAAGCAAGCACTTTTATTTTGCTTGCATGTACAGACTTTGCAATTAAAGTCATTTCATCTTAAATCTAATGGAACCATCAAAACGAGGTTTACCTTAATACAGAGATCTACACAGTTTCAAAGGACATAAGGAGAGAAATAACAGACCATTCCTGTTATTTAGCTTTAGGTCTCTAGCATCAGTCCCTGAGGATAAACAGTATATTGGCACTAACTTCAATATCGGCTGATGTTGGTCATTTTATAAACATATCGGTTGTGTTTCTATGGGGCCAACTTTAATGATCTCCATTTTGGTGTTGTTTGTGTTTCTGCAGGGGGTTAGCCATGTGCAGTTTGTTTGATGTATGAAAGCAATAGTAATGCAGAGCAGGATTATAATATGTTTAACTAAGGTGGAGAAGCAATTCCAGGGGTGTTTTACTTCAGCATGTCGAAAGGGGAAGGAAATATATACAAGATCAACAAATATCAGTTGTCAGCCATACAAAATAATGTTAATACCAGAGGTATTATAAGTGAGTATTACTGTATCTCATCTTATTTTAAGGGTAAGATTGCTGATTTCATCAGCATATAATCTTATTTACCTACTCAAATTAAGGATAATTACTCTTAATTTAAGAATACTTTTTTTACAGCGATGCCTTGAGATCGTGTGAATTGCATGCATTGCTGCTTTCTCCACCTGCGATCCATTGTTAAAGTTCTGCGGGTTTTCCTCATATTTTTGATTTACTAATGTGTTTTCGGTTAGTTTAAACTGAGATGTCTGCTCACAAAAAAAAAAAATCTGTATTGGTTTACATCAAACCAGAAAAATACTTCATACAAAAAAATGAGAGCTTAAAAATAGATACATTTAAAACTTGCTTAAAGGTTATCTTCTTTCTTTAATCTTAAAAACACGGCTTACGTTAACCATAATATAATCACATATGACTGTGGGTGTTTTTTTAATAAAAAAAAAAACTAAAATCATCTGCTGAAGCCTCAGTTAAACGTGTGCTTGATTGTTTAAGTAATTAGTTTGAATAGAGCTTTAAAGTTAGAGACAATACTATTTTTTCACTTTTAGCCATGAACGACAACATGTATAGTCGTCAATTTATTCCAAATATCATAATTAATCTAATCCTAATTATTTGACGTCACCACATTCAAAGCTCAGGAGGCACGGGGGAAAAAGAAATCAATGGCAGTATTTAATCGCTGTTGTACGATTAAACCAATTATCTCCAAAAATAAAACAGACAGGCAGCAGATTACATTATGGGCTGTTAATAGAGAACACTAGTATGAATCTTATAACGTAAAGGATGTTTCTAGCTCATCAACCCAAAGTAATTTGTTAACAGCTTCTATAACGGCTGTTTCCTAAACATCAATGATCAAAGTGAAGGAGTGACTGATGACTGCAGCAATGCCTCGTTGGAGCAGGGTGATAAACTATTGGCTCAGACCGAGCCTGATGAAACCCTTTCTAAGAATGGTTTCTTAAATAATAACAGGCTGAAGCTTCCCCTCCATCAGTGTGACAGAAGAGCCGGACCTTGATTTATGTGATGAGCAAGACCCACTGCGCACTTCAACTCCTCCAGACGCACCCACCAAACAACCGAGATATCTGGGTTTGGGTGATTTCACATTTCAGCAGAAGCCACCACGACGCAGAGATGTAACATAAACCTTTTCATTAATATTCTGGTGAAAACCAATGAGATATCTGTAAAATATTAAATGTCTTAGTCATAAACAATATTAACTGCTCAGCAGTTTTTACAGAGTTGTTTTTAAATTTTAATCTATTTCGCAGTCAAACATTCATTGTTATAGAATATTTGCTTCGAATATAACTGCAGATCCAAACAAAGTCCCCCCCCCCTCCCCCCAACAAGTTCTAAAATCATACTTCTCCATAACAATTAAAAGATTGAAGAGTTTTAGATCTGGAAAACTAGATCAAACTGAACATCACTTAACTATGTCATCTTGACCAACCACTGTTGCTCTCTGCCCATAAAACCAAATATACAAACTTTATAACTTTTCTAGCCAAGCTCAAACTTTCCAAGGGCTAAAAAACACATTAAATAACTCTGCTTCAAACTCTGGTTTAGTCATATAATCCAACAAATGCTGAAACTAAATTGCAAAAATTGTTTGCAAACTTGCAAAAATTCCTAAATTCATATAAAGCATGGTGTTGATTAGCAGACATAAAACAACATTCTGAAGGGCTTTTCGGTAACCTTGTAGTGAAAAGGTTAGATGCTACTTTCCCTTCCTACTAGCTGCAGTCTATTAAGGTTTCTGTTCGTCTCACAGTCACAATCTATAAAGAAACAAACACTTTAAATAACCTTCTGCTTTGCTCAATTTAGGATGCACCGCTTAGTTTTCCTCGTCTCCTTGATAGTTTAACAACAATCAAGGACTCCATAACTGGGATGAAAAGTGGAGCTACAGCCTCGAGAAAGGAGAGAAATAAAAGCAGGTCACACTTCTTTAGTTACAGGAGCAGCCTCCTCATTATGAACCAAACATTCCTTTATAAAGCACCATCAGTGTGGGAGATCAGCACTGATTAAACGCCCTTAGAGAGCCCAGCACAATGTGGAGATAACAATACAGGCTACATAACCATCCCAACATAACAAGGGTTTAACCTTAACTACTGCACAGCCTCTATTGTCAGGCTGCAGATGCAGCAGCTGCACTTTATCCAATTGCTGCCCCAGTTTTACCTCCACGGGTTGGTTTATTGGAAACAAACTGCTTAAACTGCCAGAGGTGAGACCAAATTATACACCTTTGTTTCTGCTACTGTAAGCTAAAACGAAAACAGATTTACTACTACCACTACTAGCAAAGCCTGTCCAGACGGAGGGAAAAAACAAAACAAAAACTCACCAAATGAGAGTTCTCTTTTGCCTCTTGTACTTGCTGCACCTGTGGTTCAGCGACAACTTTCGTGTCCTGGTCAGAAGTCATGAGCCGTCTGCTTCTTGGCTCCTCAGGGAGAAGTCTCTGTGTCACCAAGTAAGCTTCAGAGGGAGCAGATGGAGACAGAAACACGTCAGATTAGAACAGTAATGTTTGTCAAATATCAGCTGCCACGCGTGGGCAGGAGAAGCAGGCTGAAGGGCAGTGACCCTCAGAGACAGGGATGTGACACAGCGGCGAATAGTTAACATGTAGGCTTGATTCAGGCCTGCAAAAAAGGAAATAAAAAATATTTTAAAAGTTAACCGCTAAAAAGGGATGTGAGCAAGTACTTGTGATGATAAACTGGTCAAAGTTGGCCTGAACCACTAAAAAAACAAAGCATGCATGAATCATTATTTTTGCTTAGGACTTAGCTATTTATTAGCATTTTGTTTACATATTTTATGTAAGGACCACGAGAAAAAGAGCCTAAGCTCTAACACTAACCCTGTTTAATTATAATCTTTGACCTTTGAAAATGGGTCAGCTCTACTACCAACCAAACGAAGTTCGTCTATGAGAGGTTGAGAGTCTAGATCCTTTCCTCTGCCTACATTGCCCGGAATGCTATGTAGTTCTAGATCAAAGTTTAGAGAAATAAAAGAAAAAATCTAAATCAAACATATTTTCTATTGATAATGGTTAAGTGTCTCTTTTCATATTGATTGCTCAGCCCTACTTTTGCTGGGTTTTTTTGTTGTTTTTTTGTTGTTGTTTTTTTTAAGTGGTTCTTCCATTAAAGAATCTCTAAATGTAAATATAGCTAAAAAATATGAATGTAATAATTACAAACCGCTTAACAGGTACTGCTTTAATGAAGTAGCTCGTCTAATAGCGGTAAGGTTTTTTTTTCCTGTGCTGTAATCTGATTCGAGGAGCTTTACAGTGCATGCAGATGATGACTGGTGAGTTTATCAAACACTTTTAGTGTTACTTTTATTGTGATAATTAAAAACCGATACCAATGCTGATTTAAGAATAAGGTATATGACTAAATGTCTTCCTATGTTTACAATCCCAAACGCACCTTCGCATTTTGCATGACACTGAGCACTTTACCATCTCTGATAAATGAAAAGTTAGTTGAAAACTACACTATCAGAAAACAGAGAAATAAGGCTTAACATAGTTTAGTGATGTCATCACTAAAAAAATAAACATCAAATACCATATAGTAACTATTCAATTGCATTATTTTTTAATGTTATCTGACTGCCATCCTTATGCTTTGGTTGATGAAGATCATCCTCCATTGTGACATCTGTTTATTTGTTTCTCATGTTGTTACAGACCTCTCTCTCTGTCATGCACACAGCTGACAGAACCAGCAGACTTTATATTAATTAAAGGGAAAGGACAGCCCCCGTTCCTAAAGGTGGAAACACCTTTTCTCCGGGACTTGCTGAAGCTGTGTGGGACATGCTGATAATCCTGCTCAACAATCGGTGCCTGCCTGCGACACGAGCTCTGATTGTGTTTGCATACAAAGCAGAGAGAGAATGGCATGGCTGTAAAGCTGGTGACCTTTGATCCACATAATGATGATACACAGCCAGTGTGTCATCCCACTGATATGAATGGAGCTTGGGAAAAGGCATACATTTATTTTTATCCCAAAAATGAATGCTTTGAGATCCAGCTGTGTAAACAACTAAAGCCGAAAAAAGATGGAGAAAACTCAGTTTGAACTTTTTTTTAGAACTGTTAAAGCGTGTCTTAAAGAAGAAGACATTTAAAATTTGACCAAGAAATGTAAATAAATAATTGACTTGTTATTGTAAATTAATAGTTTATTTTAATAAAAGTTTTTAATCTGATTAATTGATTATGTCCCCTGGAAAGAGTTTCTTTCCGTGTTGACACCGTCCAGTAGAGGGTGCCACTGTTCACCGTTAAGCGGAGCCTAGTATTTGCAAGGAAAGTAATGCTGTAGCTGAAGCACGCAAAAGCAGAAAAAATGAATTAATCAACAGTCCAATCTGAGATTATTTACAACATTCATTGGTGATGAGGATGCAAAATACAATTTGATGTTCTGTTTGCAAAAGTAAACACTGGATAAACTCCTTAATTTATTACCTAAATAGTGCCCATTTAGCCATGCTGCAGTGTGGAGCAGCGCAACTTCTTTGCTGCGTTTGAAGGTGAGGATTTTATGACAGAAAGGTTAAGGGCATTATGCAAAACATTTGTAATATGATAGAAAAGAAACATGCCTGCATTGAGTACCGTAGATTAAGGCGACTTTTGTTAGTTTATGCAATTCATGGAGCCAGCTTTTAATGGTCCTTTCAGAGCAATCGGAATCACTAGTTTAAAAGCACTTAACAGCACAAAGTCTCCCCCACCAGACAGAGAGCTATATAACAGTTAGCATCCTCTTCACTGAAACAGTGGCAAATTGTCTGACAGTATTTCAGTGCGGCATACACATGTTGGTTTAATGTCTCTGTATTTTGGAAAAGGACTGAGCCAATAAACTATTTTTTTAATTCAGTTATTTAATGAGTAATTGTTATATCTACTGAATAAGCTTAATGTGTTTAATTTTTTTGTTCATTCAGTCAGCATTTAATACAGCTTGCACAATAAAATCTTAAAATGTGATGCTTTACAGCTTATTTAATACAGCATATAAAAAAAATGTAGCCCCCACTGGCATCCACTATGACTTTATTTTTCACCAGAGCATTACTGGATACTTATAGTAGTGCAGTGTTTTCCATTTCTCCTCCAATGTCAGATGTTCCATCCTCAGAATTTGAAGTTTCGAGAGGAATGCCCATGAAAGTTTAAAAACAAGTTGGTCAGGAAAACACCACCATACCAAACATCTGCATTCATGGTGGCTGCTAAAAAAAGCTTGATAGCCTTTCTCATCTTTATGTGATATTTAGTCAGTCTTACACTTAGCATTTCAGTGTTTGAGATAAAATGTTTGAACACTGCTTACAAACACTTAATACCACTAGGACTGAAACAATGAAATTATTGTCATTAATCTATTACTGGAATAATCATCAACTTATTTAGTAACTGATTAATTGTTAAATGGAGTATAGACTGTAAAACATGCCTTTAGCTGACAGAGCAACCAATTTAGAGCAGTAATTATATCAAAATTGTAAAACAAATCTGTAAACATTTTGCATTTAAGATTAAAAAAAAACTTTTTCGTCTGTCAAAGACATGAGCGCAGAACAGACACCAGAGGCTGCAGACACACACTGTGCCTCTCTCAGGGCAGCCATGTTAAATTCTAATGCAAATTAACAATTTATTAAAGTGGGAAAATTATCCAATTCAAGGGAAAGTTTTAAGTGACAAAAAGGGGCAAACGTTGCTGCTTGGCAGAGGTTCTTGTGCTCTGGTGCTTTTCTAGTTTCTAAATCTTCCTTTTTGTTCAACTTTTAAGTCAGCGCCTCCCTGCTGTTTTTAAAAGCACTTTAAAAATTCTGCTTGGCTGCTGCCAAAAATCCCTGGAGTATCAAAACGTGCAATGTTGCCGGACAGTAATTCTGGAGGAATGGCCTTTGAAGCCCTAGATTACCCTCAGATTATCCAAAAACCAGCTAATTTAGTGACCGAGGTTAAACTAGGGTCAGACAATACACTGCTGGTGTACCTTTATCAGAACTCTCTACACAATAAGCATAATCACAAAGAAAAGCTTGGAATTAGATAAATATCAGCCAATGTTTATGAACCTGCCTGGTATCCATTTGGAGATAATGGCTGTTTCAAAACAGCAGTGAGAGTTTTTTGAAGGAAACTAAAAGTTTTGGTTTTTTTATTGCCAAAAAAAAACAGCTGGTGACCAAAAGCAGCCCTTGTACAAAGACTGGGTTAAGCGATGCAGATGGAAATGAGGAGTTTATTGGGTTTTTTCCCCCCTTATTGGCTGGACCTCTAGCTTATCTAGCTTGCCGTTTCTCTCCGTCTTATTTCTTAAATATTAGAAACGTAGGGCTGGGTATTGTTCAAAAATTTTCGGTTCCGGTACCAATACCGATACCTTCACTTCGATACCGGTTCCTGAAC